CTGGCTGCACTTCTTCCAAGACGGATCGGTTTGCCCTTTTAGCGCGCCATGGCACTTTGAGTATTCTTCTCCAGCACAAATTCAGATGCATTGGTTCTTCTACGGCCTTCCGCGTGCGTGTGATGTAGTGGAAGGATGTCGTGGCTTTGGTAAGGTGCAACTTACTCTTCAATATTGATTGTGGATACAAATTAAGACAACATTCTTGACGACTTCAACCTTTTTTCGATTTAACATGTTTGTTACCTATTGGTTCAGCTGTGAGGACTTGGGGCTTCCTTAAATTGAGTCATAATCCATCCTGAAGACTGCAGTCCTTGATGTTTTGCTCATCAGCAAGTGCTTGCAGTCCTCACTTTCAGCAAGCAAAGTCGTGTCATCTGCACACCACGGCTTGTTAAGTCTTCCTCCCATCCTGATGCCAACTCGTCATACAGTCCAAAGTCCCTGATGATGTGCTCAGCATACAAATTGAACAAGTACGGTGAGAGGATACAATCCTGATGCACACCTTTCCTGGTTTTATGCCATGCTGTGTTCCATTGTTCTGTTCAGACAGCTGCTTCTTGATCCATGTACAAGTTCCAGATAAGCACATGGAAGTGGTCCCAAATTCCCGTTCTTCTCAGGGTCACCCATTACAGTTTATCGTGGTCCACACAGTCAGATGCCTTGGCATAGTCAATAAAACGCAAGTAAACATCCTTCTGGTGTTCTCTGCTTTAAACCAAGATCCATCTGGCACCTGCAATGATATCCCTATTCCATGTCTTTTTAATCTGACCTGGACTTCTAGCGGCTCTCTGTCACTGTACTTCTGCAGCTGTTTGTTGGATGATCTTCAGCAAAATTTTACTTGCGGAGATATAAATAATACTGTTATGTAATCTGTGCGTTCTGTTGGGTCGCTTTTCTTTGGAATGGGTACAGATGTTGGTCTTAGCAGGCCAGTGACTTCCAAACTTCCTGACATGCACGTGAGTGCTTCATCGGCTTGAAGCATTTCGATGGCATCCCGCCCGTTGCTGGAGGCTTATATTTGACGCATGCATTCTGTGCAGCTTGAGCTTCTTTCTTCAGTGCCATTCATTGACTCTTGCTTGGATGCCACCCCTTGAAATGGTGAACTATTGACTGGCTCATTTTGATACAGTGACTCTGTATTTATTCCATCTTTTGATGCTCCTAGCATCATTCATTATTTTGTCCATGGAACTTTCAGTATGTCAACATGAGATTTGAATTTTGTCTTCAGTTTAAGATAGGCCAAGTGTGTGCTCTTCCTTTTTGTTTCTCTGACTAGGTTTTTGCACATTTCATTATAATACTTAGCGTTGCCTTCTCGAGCGGCCTTTTGAAATTTTCTCTTCAGCTCTTGGACTTCATTGTTTCTTCCATATGCCTTAGCTACTCGATGAGTAAGATCATGTTTCAGTTTCTTTCTGTTCTGTCTTTTTAATGACTTTTGCTTTCTTGGCCGATGTCCTCCCACAGCTCTACTCGCACAGGCTGCACTCCCTCCATGTCTGTACGGTGGGTTCTACTTGAGAAGGCAGCCTCTTCCTCAGTCATAGCTTAGGTGCCTTCTGACCCGAGGAGCTCCCCCTGGCGCCCTCTGCGGCAGTGTTCTGCCTCTTCTCAGGAGCTTTTCCGTATCGGACAGTGTTTTGATTCTGCCCATAAGGTCTCGGTGGCTGATTCCTCTGAAGTGGGCCGTCTACTTCTTTGTTGTCTGTTCTTAGTCTGGAAGCTGTCTGAAGCCTGTTCATGTTGGGTGAGCCTGCTTGCACTTGAAAGGCCACTGACTTAGCTTCCAGCAACACAAACCACCACAGTGGGACACACGTGGTGGGAATGCCCAATTAGAGTCTTAGTTCTGGAATGTTCAGATTGCTGCTCCACATGTACCCGGTCATAGGCCAACGGCAGTGGGTTCTATTCTTTGGTTTAGACTCCAATCAGGCTTCTTTAAGACCTCGTCTAGATTAAAAAGGCCAGAGTTACATAGTTGACCTCCAGGTGCTAATCCATGAGCCTTCAAATGAAGCAGAACCTTCTGGGAACTTGAGGCTCTGGGTGTCCCTAAAGTCTCATGTGTGGGTTTGTAGGCCTTCCTACAGGCTTGAATTTGTCACAGCTCGTGCACCACAGCCCCTCCCTGGTGTGGGCTTCAGATGGAGCATGCTTGTTGGAGGTAGGCCTGCCTGGGTCTTGCTCTGGGGCCTTGCTGCTTATTACAGGTATGTGGGGCAGCAGCCTGGTATCCCCAGGACAACATGGCCGGAGTCAAACAGAGCTGGCCAAGTCTACCACTAATGTAGCACACAGGGTTCCTGTGTGTTGTGGATGTTAACTCCATAGCAGTTGGGGGAGGCGGGGGTTGGAGGACCCTTGGTGGCCAGAGTAAAGGCTACCACTCCTTAGTGCTGTGGGGAGTTGGGGAGATGCGGTGACATGGACAGGCAGAGGGGAAGGCAGGCATCCAACCAGCTTCCCTTACCAGACCAGGCCAAGGAAGGACGTAGGCGAAGCGGCAGTCTGCAAGGAGAAGCGGCAGGACCTGGTATCGGGGCAGTGAGGCAGTGTGGTGGTGGCTGGGAGCCACCTGAAGCTTGTGCTGAGGGTGGTCTCTGAGGGGGCACAAGGGTTGGCAGAGCCCTGCCTGGGCTGCACATGGGACCCCTGTTACTCTGGCACCAGAGCTCGAGTCAGCATGCTGGGAGGTTGTCGCCAAGTCCCTGCCCAGATCTTGCTCTTTCGGAATCAGAACAAAACACCAGCGGCACTTAAAGCTCGCTCCATGTTCCCACCCAGGCCCCTGGGCCCAAAGAGAACTAACAGTGCCCGTCTCTCCCCAGGTTGGCCTGCAATGTGTGCTGCTGCTCTGCGCTGGGAGGACACCCGTTCCAAGTTGCCAGCGGTCACTTTGGGGTGAAGCGGACATTTCCAGCTCATGGCGCATTAGCCAGCCTGGGATAGGATCGTTGTCTGGACGATTGAGACTGCCACTCACAATGTCGTCCAACCGGGGCCAGAACCCCCATGGGCTGAAGCAGATCGGCCTGGACCAGATCTGGGATGATCTCCGAGCCGGGATCCAGCAGGTCTACACCAGACAGAGCATGGCCAAGTCCCGCTACATGGAGCTCTACACGTATCCTGCTGCGGCCATCCTTGCCCTGGCTGTCCCCCACCCCAGTCGTCAACCCGTTACTTCTCCGTGTGAACAGGGCTCTAAAGCAGCTGTTCACGGCAGTGCCCTAGTCCCCTCCTCGGCTGCACTGGCCATCTTGCAGGGCTGTGACTGTAGCACATTCCCATCCTTTCAGACCCTGCTGCAGGCCACAGCCCTGCCCTGGGCTGAGGAAGACCAGTGGTCCTCCACTAGCAAGCCAGCATCTGCTTGTGTGGCCCTTAAAAAATGGTGGAATTTGCCCACAAACTTACCGTATGTTCACGTACATCTCGTATACACATGGGGGCATTTTTCAAATGGGAATTTTTAAATGGCCAGACCTCAGTGGCTTTTTAGTGTAGTCTCTGAATTACACAGCCACTACAGTGATGCCATTGCAGAACCTTGCCCTCACCCTGATTTCCCATGCCTCCTGGCAACCCCAAATCTACTCTCTGTCTCAATGGATCTACTGATCTGGACAATGTGTAGAAAACATGAAACTGACAGTCTTGTGACTGACACTTTTCACTCCCACTGGTGGGCATGGGTGGTTTCCACTGTTTGTGAATAATGTTCTTGAGTGTCTGAGTGGGTTTTTTCTTGGGCACATATCTAGGGGTGGACCGTGGTACCCTGTGGTTGATATACACGTCTCTTAAGGAAGAGGGAGCCTTTGCCAAATGCGGTTACATTTCTGTGAGTAGCAGAAGCGAAGGGCGGTGCCTACAGGGAGAGCAGAAGGCGCTGGGCTCTGGTTCTGGCATACAGAGCGTCGGGGGCACGTACCGCTGTGCCAACAGAGGAGGTTTGATTCTGTCGCTGGTGTCTCTAGAGCAGCAGTTCTCAACCTGTGGGCCACAACCCCTTTGGGGGGCGTCGAACGACCCTTTCACAGGAGTCGCCCAATTCATAATAGTAGCAAAATTACAGTGATGGAGGAACAAAAATAATTTTATGGTTGGGGGGGTCACCACAACATGAGGACCTGTATTAAAGGGTCGCGGCATTTGGAAGGTTGAGAACCATTGCTCTAGAGGATTTGTGCATACATAGGCCAAACGAGATCCTGTCTGGTAGCACGCCCTGCTCTTGGAGACCACGGAGGTAAAGGCTTCACACCGCTGTCGTGAGGCTGTGTGATCGGAACACTCGCACTGCTGTCTGAGGGGTGTGACAGGGACGCCCAGGCTGTCCTGCAGGCATGTCTCAGGTCAGCAGGTAGCTCTTGGGTGGAAAAGGGAAAAGATGGTCTCGCCCATCACCCGGCCAGAGAGGACGGGCCACCTCTCTGTCCTGGAAATGGGGCAGTGCTCTCCCAGGAGGGGCTCCTGAGCTGCCTGTGAAAGGGCCCTCGTACAGCCCCTGGAGCCGTGGCTGCGTCAGGAAGGCGGTGTCTCGTGGTGTGAGTCTCCACTGTGCTGCTCCAGCTCACAGCTGCTTGGAGGAGGGAAAGGGACTTGGGGACAGAAAAAGTTTCAGAACGTCTCCTTACTCAGAGGCCTAGCTCCTTGGCCCTCAGCCCCAGCCTCTTCTGAGAGGCTTCTGTTCTGCCTTCTCTTTCCCTCTGACCTTTTGGTGGGGAGATTCTCCTGAGTGCAGGTGACCCACGGTGGGGGCGCCTGTCTGCCTAGGGCGTCGGGCTCTGGCCTAACCTCCCAGTGCTAGTCCACAGCCCCTGCCCTCGCTGTGCGCTGAGCCATCAGCCACGTTCCCTCTGGCTGCTGGCCCCGTGGTACTACATGCTGCCAGGGCTCCCTGTCTGCAGCGGGGCTTGGGGAGTGCCCGGGCTCAGGACCCGCCGAGGGCACACGCCACCCTAGTAGGAAACTAGTCTCAGAGAACTCGAGTCCTGTGCTCACCTGGGATGGATGTGCACCTGGGCCTCTCCTCTCTCTTGCACTTGGTGACCCTGCCCTTGCTTACGTAACACCCATGGTCCGCGCTGAGTGTTCCTGAAGACAGAAGGAGTGGTTCTTGTTTCAGAGGAACCTCCCCGTTGTTCTGGGTACTTATGGGGAAACTGCATGTTCTCTCTAGTCCATTTCTACATGGACTTTTTGAAGGTCCCCTCTTCTGGTTGGTGGTTTAGCCAGCCTCTTAACAACAAGACCCAGAAACACAGTCGCACTCACGGAGAGAGAGAAGCATGAGGCAGCCTGCCCGTCGGTGACCGGAGCAAGAACCAAAGGGAAGCTCGCTCTAGGAAACGGCGTTGTGACCGCCTAGCAGGAAAATCTCTTATCTGGCAGGGCCCTAGGCAGGAGTGCCAGGCTCAAAGATACCGCCACTGCTGCTCGGTGCTGTGTGCTGCCCCACAGTCCTGTCGTGAGCGCAGCCTCCTGGAGGGCCTCCCTGCTCCTCTTCCAGGGCTCCTAGCTCCGTGCTTCAGCCTGTAGTTCTTCCAGTTCCAAGGGATCCATATTGTATGCCCTCGAGCCTGTTCTGATTTCAGTGGTGGGGCTGTGTTTGAACTGGCTCCCGCTGTTAGAAGCTCCCAAGGCAGCTTCTGCAGTGGTTACTTGGGGGCTGTAATCTGCAAGCTCGGCTGGCTTAAAACGACCCGCACTCCACGGAACAAATAGGGGCTTTCTACTGCTGTGAACAGGGGCAAATCGACCCTGCTAAGATGGTGATTTGTTTCTTTGGTACTAACTAGGTTGATAGTTCAAATGCAGCAGCCAGTCTGGAAGAAAGATGAGGCTGTCCGCTCTCATAAAGACAGGCAGTCTGAGAAACCCTGGAAGCCTGGTCAGGGTTGCCAAGGTTGGCTTGCGCTACTTGAGTGCATTCTTGCCCTCCGCCCAGTTCTGGGCCTGGCACTTTCTGTAACGGTGTTGCTTGTCCAGCAGGGGGAGGTGGTTGAGAATGCGCACGCATTGGCCAGCCGGCAGACTGCATACAAGCAGTGGCACTGACTGCATGCCAGGCACCAGGCAACCCTTCTCACCCACCGTTCTGCTTGGTTCTTCCCTCAGCTCCCTGCCCTGGCGGCGTGGGCAGGGTGTTCAAGGACCCTTTTAAAAAAAAATTTTATTGGGGCTCGTACAACTCTTACCACAATCCATCCATCCGCATCCATTGTGTCAAGCACATTTGTATATTTGTTGCCCTCATCATTCTAAAAAACAGTTGCTTTCTACTTGAGCCCTTGGTATCAGCTCCTCATTCCCCCCCTCCCCCCGCCCTCCCCATGAACCCTTGATAATTTATACATTATTATTATTTTGTCATGTCTTACGCAGTCCAGCGTCTCTCTTCACCCACTTTTCTGTTGTCTGTCCCCCAGGGAGGGGGTTATATGTAGATCCTTGTAACCGGTTCCTCAGAGACTACACTGCTGTTTTCCTGAAGACAACCTGAAGGGGGATTCTGGTGTGTGGCGTAGAAATCCTCTCGGGGCAGTAGTTAGGAGGCATCCTGCTCTGAGGATCCAGGAAGTCTGGATTTCTAAGAATATGAAACTGTTCAGCGTTTGTGCCCTGTGGTCAGAACCTCCTACAGAACTTCTGGGCTGGTCTGCTCTTGGCACAGAGCCCGTGATTTGGCAAACCCACGGCTGCTAGTGCTGCCCAGCACCTGGAGAAGGAGTGTTTGCTTCTTTCTAAACCTGCTTCCAACACCTGGCATAGAGGACTGTTACAGTTAGGCTCTCTGCTTTTGAGCTGCGTTTACTTGGGGGCATGGTCCCATGTCACCCCGGCTAGGAGAGGCTACAGTGAGGCCGTGCGCCTCTCGGCTGCCGTCACTGAAGTGGCCCCTTTCGGAAAGACCGTGACCGCTTGGGTGGACTTGTTCAGCAGCTACATTTCCCTGTGGTGTGGAGTTCTGGCCTGCCATGTTACACTGGGCCTTGGCCATGAGCTGCTGACCTCTCTGTCCAAGTAGGGGGTACTCAGTAGCATGGTCCTTCTCTGACCTCCGTGTCAGCCCCGACTCCTCGGCAGGGAGGTGCTGGGGACTTGGCCCAACCCGAGATGGAGTGACTGGTCTCTGTTACTCTCGATTTTGTGATTTCCACTTTTCTACTTCAGCTCTTAATGCAGCTACAGTGCATTTGGGGTTATGAAGTATGTTTTGAAACAGTCTCTTGCCCTAATGCCACTCACTGAATAATCTTTTATACTCTTACTGACTTGAAATACCGTTAATAATAAATCCTTAAATACACAAGAATCTTAATGTCTGTTTCCTGATCTGTTTCGTTGGTCTGTCTCTGTGGATTCAGTATCAATGTTTTTGTTAGTTTCACCGGAGACATGCAGATCAGCTGAGTTTGTCACTGTGGCTAGCACCACAGGGTGGCCTCTGCCTTGCCCACCCCGACCTGGCCCCCACGTGAGCAGCTCTCTGGCTGTGGGCGCCAGTCTGGGGCCGTGGGCTGCTGCTCCAGCGGGTGTGCTCCAGCTCAGAGACTCCAGGAGGCTAGACTCCCGACGCAGCCGTTCTGCGGCTTCTCGTCGTCATCGCAGTGTGGCCGTGTCTGAACCCATGTGGGAGCATCTTCACTCAAGCTTTGGCCATCGTTAGTGAGGTTCAGTCACCGCGCCCTTGGAGCTGAGCCTCACGGTGGGCTGTGGCTGCTATCCTTCACATTCCTGGAGTGCTGAATTTGCCCTCACCCGTGTTTCCTATAACTCTTCTGCCCACAAGGCTGCCCTCCTGACCTCACCTTCCTCTTCTAGGCCTGCCCACCAGGTGGAAGGGCTGTGCCCAGGTGTATTGTCTTACTTAGTTGCTCACGCGTTTCTGTGCGCATGTCAGAAATGTACTAAGACACGTGTAAGAAAACACTGCTTTCCTTGACCACCTTCCAAGCCATGTGTACAACTACTGCACAAGCGTGCACCAGTCCAACCAGGCCCGGGGGTCCGGCGTCCCCCCTCCCAAGTCGAAGAAGGGCCAGACGCCTGGCGGGGCTCAGTTCGTCGGCTTGGAGCTATACAAACGACTTAAGGAGTTTTTGAAGAATTACTTGACAAATCTTCTTAAGGTGAGATGTTTGACCAGGCACTAGGCTGTTAGAATGGGATGGTGTATATTCGGGAGGTAAGGACAATTGGGTACCAGGTCCCAGGGCCACTGTGGACTCACAAGGTGCCTCACGTTGCTTTCACCTGCCAGGAAGATGAGCCGCACAAGCTCACCTGTCTGTATTTCTCCAGATGTGTTTTATCAGCAGGGCTGGGCCCTCCTCACAGAGGACTGTCTCACATCATTCACCACACCGCACCCAGTGGTTTGGGCGTGAGGCCCAGGGGCAGTTTTCCGTGTCCTCGGGGAGCACACGTGTGGCTTTGCAGGGGCAGCAGCCTCCATGCCGTGTGAGGGTTGACGGTAACTAGGGTGCGTCTGAAGGCAGTGATGGAAAGACCCCAGTGGAAACCCGCGCCGTGGTTCAGTGCAGCGGCTCTGCATTTTGAGTCTGTCGTGATGTGACAAAGCGGTCCTTAACGCTGTCGGGCCTCTTTCTAGGATGGAGAAGACTTGATGGATGAGAGTGTCCTCAAGTTCTACACGCAGCAATGGGAAGACTACCGGTTCTCCAGCAAAGTGCTGAACGGTATCTGCGCCTACCTCAACCGACACTGGGTGCGCCGAGAGTGCGACGAAGGGCGGAAAGGAATCTACGAGATCTATTCAGTAAGGGCGCTGTCAGCCTCAGGACAGCTCTCGTCTCTCATTGATCACGGTGGTCTGAGTGTTGAGTGGCAAGGAACGGAGGCAGATGAGTGGACTGGGGCTCTGAACAACACCGGGCACCCCACACGCTGCCCTTCTTACATATCTCTTCCGGTATTTGACCCGAACTGAGGTGGCCAAAGGCACGTTCCCCGGGCTGACCGCTCTGTCCCACCCTTCTCTCAGGGCCGTGACAAGGGCTGAAGTGGAGGTGTTTTTACTGGGGGGTGTGCATGTCATGGGAAGTGGAAGCAACTCCACCTTTGAGTCTCACAGGTCAAGGGAACATGTTCTCGGGGACAGGCGTCCACCTCAGAGGGAAACAATCAAATGCCTTTTTGCAGAATGACGTAAATTCATAAATGAATTCCTGCACTCCACTTTCTCAGTTTGAGAGAGACACTGTTTCAAGTTGGTTGAAGAATGATTTAGCTGAAATAAACTGTCCGTTTAAAATGGACCACTTACCATGGCCGCAGACCCTGCCACCACAAGCAAGAAACACGGCGTGATAGATTGTTAAAACCTAGGGACCAAGTGTAGCTGCTAACTGAAATGCAGGTGAGGACAGCCAGTACTGTGGTGCACTGGACATGTCTCACATGAGAGCAGTTCCCACCCCTAGTGTGGGGAGATGCGCACCAGATTGTGGTGCATGAATTAATCTGGGATCTAGGGTGTTGTCTATAAAAACAAGTGTAAGAACGTTGATGTCTTACACCTTTTTTTCTTTCAAGCTTGCACTAGTGACTTGGAGAGACTGTCTCTTCAGGCCGTTGAATAAACAGGTACCTGTGCATGCTTCTTTGTGTGTGCACCTGTGAGAGTGGGGGGCAGGGGTGCGTGCAGGTGTCTTCCTTTTGGGTCCCTCGCAGATTCACTTGTTGGCCTCTGTCTCACTCCTTTGTATGTAGCTCTCATCCCACACTGTTGCCCGGGTCTGGGTGCTTGAGGGCATGGAACGCGGTCTGTGCTGGACCCTGGGCTCTGCCTCATGTGTCTCCTGTATTCTTCCCGAAGGTGACAAACGCTGTTTTGAAACTGATTGAAAAGGAAAGAAATGGTGAAACCATCAACACAAGACTGATCAGTGGCGTGGTGCAGTCTTATGGTGAGCAGTTTCCCTTACTTTGCTCGGAGTTTACCAGTCTCGTGGCAATTCTAACAGTGCTCCAGCAAGCTCAGATGAAACTGTTTGCCCTCACCAAGAAGAGTGGTGCCCTGTTTCACAGAGGCGGGCACAACCACCCTCTCGAGTCTGACGCACCCTGAGAGGTGTTGGACCTTCTCAGGGCATGTCCAGGGGTGGGTGTTGGAATGAGGCCTCTCCCTCAGGGTGAAGCACTGGCTCTGTGGAGGCGGACAGGTGAAATAGCCGGGTGAGAACCAGAAACCTGCTTTTGTATGAAAAGCACAGTTGGCAAAGCCAGTGTTAGAATAGCCTGGTTTGCCTTGAAAGTGTAAATGAGCCGTTTCTGGTGTGGGGGTTTGGTTTGGTTTTTACTTCTGCGTCTGCCCGGTGGTGGTCGCCCAGTCATTGCTGACTTCCACTCAACAGTGTTGGGTGGCTGCAGTCACAGCTCCCCAGCGTGCGCACAGCCTCCTCCTGTCGCTGCGCCGTGGTTCCGCGCCAGTCTCTCCACCCAACATTCTCTGTTTTCAAGTTATTGTTCTGTTTCCCCCTCTTTTCTTTTTTCTGCCTCTCAAAATACGACAGTTGTCTTAAATAAACCTCGTGTCCTGGAAGACTGCCTGGCCCTGGGGTGGAGGTGGCTGTCTAGTAAAGTGTTAGCGAGGGGGGGCTCGGGCTGGCCCTGGGATGGAGCTGGTTGTCTAGTAAAGTGTTAGCGAGGGGGGGCTCGGGCTGGCCCTGGGATGGAGCTGGTTGTCTATTAAAGTGTTAGCGAGGGGGGGCTCGGGCTGGGGACGGGCGGCTGAGGCGCCGCTCCTCTCTTGCAGTGGAGCTGGGCCTGAACGAAGACGACGCGTTCGCCAAGGGCCCCGCGCTAACCGTGTACAAGGAATCCTTCGAGTCCCAGTTCTTGGCCGACACCGAGAGGTTCTACACCAGGGAGAGCACCGAGTTCTTGCAGCAGAACCCCGTCACCGAGTACATGAAAAAGGTGAGCCGGCCTCCGACCGGGGCAGGCAAGTGGGGAGCAGCCACAGGCCAAAGTGAAGTGGCAGGGTGCTGGTCACGTTTCTGCAGCAGCGCCCACCTGCAGTCTCCTCGGCACAGCCAAGCAGAGCTGGGATTGAGACCCAGCAGAGTCTGGTCCAACGGGGCTGAGGGCCATGCTAGGGCCGGGTGAACGCTGAGGCTCTGCGGCAGCCGGTTGGCTCTGCCACTGGGGTGAAGGCGGCACCAGCAGCGCACCTACCAGTGAGAGTGAGCCGCATGGGCTCAGCGGGCCTGCTAGGGCTTGCTGCTGCCAGCTGCTCTCCTCCCCCAGGGAGCGGGGGCTGCCACATAAGGGTCGAAGACACAGCCACCGCTAGCACCGTCTCGTCCCAGGCAGGCTCTGGCGGGGCCTCCGTCTCCTCCCTGTGAGATGCGCGCGCGGTGGCTAAGGGAGCTGACCCTAGCCCGCTCAGCCCCAGCTTTCCCCACACGCCATGCGCACAGCTCTGCAGACGCTTCTCTCGGTGAGCTGTTTGGAGCAAACCGGCAGCGTCATGTCAGCTGTCTCACCAGGCTCCGGAGAGCCAGCTGCCAACACCAGCTTTCAGATGAGGAAGCTTTTCGAGGACAGTCGGGAGGAGCGAGCTCAGTGATGAGCCAGGACGGGGAGGGGTGGAGACCCTGCTGTCGCTTGGCCTCAGCCTGTCCCCATGCAGGCTCTGCGGCCGTGGGCCCTCTCCTTGGTGGTGGCAGCTGTCAGAGCAGGTGCAGCAGGAAGTGCCGGTGTGTGCAACCCTGGGATACCCCATTTCCGGGTTCTGCCAGTGTGGGCAGAGAGCTAACCTAGAGCAGCCATGCTAGGGCTTTTGATAATGAGTGTGTTATGTCAACCATGTGTATGTGTGTCTGTTTTCATCAGGGGAGTAGGTGATGTGGCAGCCAGGTTCCCGGGAGCTTTCTGGTACCTTCTCTCAGCTCTAAGACATTTGTTCTTCCCTTTGAGCTTTTCCACCTTTCTCCTAAGTACCAGACATAAGCATTCTTCCCAAGAGAATTGGCACCTTTATAGGTGCCCTGCCATTCCAGGGCCCGTGTGCCCTGTGTCCGTCCCTCCCTTCCCCCACCCCACCCCCGACATCACCCCTGCTCTCTACATTGCACACTGGACAAGGTGCAGGCGGCAGGCTTCAACAGGTGGCCTTTGCCCTCAGCTGGCTTAGTGGGGGTGGCCCTGAGTTCTGGTTGTCAATTCACACCACGGGTGCTGCCCACAGGCCGAGGCCCGGCTGCTGGAGGAGCAGCGGCGCGTCCAGGTGTACCTGCACGAGAGCACGCAGGATGAGCTCGCCCGCAAGTGTGAGCAGGTGCTCATCGAGAAGCACCTTGAGGTCTTCCACACGGAGTTCCAGAACCTGCTCGACGCCGACAAGAACGAAGGCACGTGCGGAGGCCGGGTTCAGCCGGGCCAAGCGTGGGCATGAGACCCCAGAGGCGGGTTGTTCAGGGAAAGCGCTCCAAGGGCTCCCGCCCGGTTTGGGCTTTTTGGAAAAGTGGGACAAACATGTCCCTGCGGCAGCGAGACCTGTCTGATGACACGCCTCCTCCTATGGCTTGCCGTCACGAGCTCGCACGCATGCGTGGGCAGAAGCACTGGGAGCCCGGTGTGAGTAGCCTGTCCTCTTGCAGATCTGGGCCGCATGTACAACCTCGTGTCCAGGATCCAGGATGGCCTGGGGGAGCTGAAGAAGCTCCTGGAGACACACATTCACAACCAGGGTCTGGCTGCGATTGAAAAGTGTGGCGAAGCCGCCCTAAACGTGAGTGGCCCCTCCCCTTTTCCTGTTTGGACCGGGCACCTGACGGGAGTGCCTTCTCGAGCACGACCGAGGCAGCTCTGAAATGAAGCGCTGTGCCTTGGAGAGCTCTGCGCTCCCTGGGGGGCCCCTGGGAGAGACAAGCTGTGTGCCCTGTGGAGACTCACAATGTCCTCTGACGTGTGCACCCCACCCCGACATCCCCATGAGACACTGCCCCAGGGTGTCCCAGAACGTGACAGGTACGCACCCCCCGCCAGCGCCCACCCACAGGATGGCCTCACAGGCACTCTGCCTCAGTGAGGGCGCCACATCTGTCTCTTCCCGCTGTCCTGAGAGCTTTGGAAGAAGTTTGCAGGAAAAAGTGGGAAGGGGCTGCTGGACCCCAATGGGTTCTCATCTTTGACCCCGAAAGCCTCCCTCTGACTTACTGTGCTTGGAACTGGTGGTGTGTCAGTCGTGTGTCCCCGGTGCCGCCTGGAAGGTCCTTCTTTCTGTTTTTTTTTTGTTATTTTTTTTAATCAATTTATTGGGGCTCATAAAATTCATCACAATACATAGATCAATTGATTTCGTTCTGTTTTTAATCATGATTCTTCGCCTCACTCAGCCCACACTCCCATCCATCTCTCGACCCCCGGCCAGTTCCCATGGCTGGGTCGTCAGACCCATCCCTTGTGTGGAGGCCCGGCCAACACCCCGACCCCCTCCGTGATCAGCCTCTGCCCCTCCTGCTTTCCCTGAGACAGGGCAAGGATGGACGTTGTAGCCACAGCTGTAACAGTGGAGTTAAACACAGCTGTCACTGTGAGAGGCTTGTTGGACCTCTTGTTCCTGGTTTTCTAACAACATGTCTGTTTCTAGCACTCTTCCCAACATGGAGAGAGTCCTCAGCTGCCCTTGGCTGCGCTCACGGCTCTCAGCGGTGGGGCTAGCATGGCCTTGGTCTGAGTGCTGGCCTCTCAGCAGTTGCTGGTGAGCAGTGCCCTCCCCAGTCACGGACCTCTGCTGTCTCCTGCTCTCAGGACCCCAAGATGTATGTGCAGACCGTGCTGGACGTGCACAAGAAGTACAACGCCCTGGTCATGTCGGCCTTCAACAACGACGCAGGCTTCGTGGCCGCTCTCGATAAGGTGTGGGAGCCCTGCTGGGCTAGGGAAGGGCTCTCGTGGGCGGCACCCCCTGACTCTGTCCTGTGTCCCACAGGCCTGCGGACGCTTCATCAACAACAACGCAGTGACCAAGATGGCGCAGTCGTCCAGCAAGTCTCCAGAGCTGCTGGCGCGCTACTGTGACTCCTTGTTGAAGAAAAGGTGCGCGCACTCGCGGTCGGGCTGCCCCGGCTTTGCCGGAGGCTGCCGCACGGAGGCTTTGCCTGCCCTTGAGAAGATCTTTAAAACCAAAGACGGGTCTCCTGCCTGAGGGGGCGTCTGTGTCCAGTGCCCGCTTTGCTTCTCTTCCTAAGGCTGCGGGTAGTGGCGGGCACCGCAGCCCCCCTCTGGCCCTTGGTCTGCGCCTGGGCAGGGTTTGGTGGGGGGAGAGGTGTTCTCCACACCCCTGGTCATTGCCTTCTCAGCATTTGGGGCTCCCTCCCCGCTCACACACTACCAGCGTAAGTGCAGACCAAAGACGGGCTTCCTGGGGACCTCCGTGTGACTGCGGTGTTCTGTCACCTTGGGGTGTGGTGATACACACAACTGCTTACACGCAGATGCTAGGTTCAGGGATGGGGAGGAACACAAGGTTTGCCATTTGTATTGTTCTTTTTTTTTTTTTTTTTAAAGAAGTGGGGTTTCTGTTTAATAAAATAGATGTGTGTAAAAATCCAAAAAGGAAATCCAACAGAGCCCCAGACAGTGTGTTCGCCCGCCACTGGTTGGACCTCCCGTGGTTCACGCGCTGACCCAGAGTGCTGTGGGCACGGCGGAGAAGGCCAGCCCTGGCTCCATGATGCTGGTTGGCCATTGGCTCCAGCTCCAGCGATGCGCATGCGAAGTAAAACTTCCCCCAGGTTTCTCCCAGAAGCCTATCATCAGGCCTGTCCCCGGGCACATATGAAGTCCAGCCCTACAACCAGGAAGCAAGTGTGTCACCTTTGTCGCCACCCGGGGGCTCCTGATGGGCCCACTCAGGTGCCAGGAGGTCACTGGCTGGGCAGGAGGAGTTCACAGCATGCAAGGAGCAGGGGCTGCAGCTTGAGCAGGGACATGGGCTTTTGCCAGCGCTGAAGGTCACAGCACGCGACCTGTGCCCTTTCCATACCGCGTCCAGGCAGGCAGAGCGACATCATCATCTGGATGACGGGTTCACAACTGTGGTTTGCTGCCATCGAGTCGGCTCCGACTCTGTGCCCAACCTGGTGCCCCTCCCCAGGACTGGTCTCTCCTGACAACTCGTCCAAAGTGTGTGAGACGAAGTCTCGCCATCCTGGCCTCTCAGGAGCACTCTGGCTGCACTTCTTCCAAGACGGATCCGTTTGTCCTTTTAGCGCGCCATGGCACTTTGAGTATTCTTCTCCAGCACAAATTCAGATGCATTGGTTCTTCTACGGCCTTCCGCGTGCGTGTGATGTAGTGGAAGGATGTCATGGCATGGGTCAGGCCCACCTTAGTCCTCAAAGTTACAGCCTTGCTCTGCAGTGCTCTAAAGAGGTCTTGTGCAGCAGACTGACCTCCATGAGCATTGTGGATCCAAGCAAGACAAATTCCTTGACAACTTCAGCCTTTTCTCCATTTCCGTGTGGTCCAGTTGTGAGGGTTTGGGTCTTCCTTGCTTTGGGCTGGAATCCCTGCTAAAGGCTGCCATCCTTGATGCTCTGATCCCTCACTTTCCGCAAGCAGTGTGGTGCCGTCTGCACACCACGGGCTGTTCAGGGTTCCTCCCATCCTGATGTCACACTCTTCCTACAATCCAGTGTGTCTGTGTGCGTGTGGTGTGTGTATGAATGTATGTTTATATAGATTAACATACGGACATGTATGGTGAGAATACAGCCCTGGCACCTTTCCTGATTTTGAACCACACAGTATTCCCTTGTTCCATTCACACAACAGCTCTTGATCTGTCCTGTTTCTGAATGAGCACCATGGAGTGTTCTGGAATTCCCGTTCTTCCAAGGTCGTCCACCGTTTATCATGGTCCCCCCGTCACCTGTGGGCATCATCAAACACACGTGAAGACCTTGCTGCTCGTCTCCGCTTTGAGCCAGGGTCCATTGGCATCCCTTGTTCCACGTCTCGTGAATCCAGTCTGACCTTCTGGAAGTTTCCTTTCAAGGTAGTGCTGCAGCTGTTGTTGGATCATCTTAAGCAAAATTTTACTTGTGGATCACTAGTTTGAGCATCCTGGTGGGTCGCCTCTCTTTGGAATGGGCACAAATAGGTTCTCTTCCAGGCAGTTGGCCGGATAGCTGTCTTCTCCACTTCCTAGCCGGCACCAGTGAGAGCCCCGGTGCTTCTTCCGCTTTGGACGCATGTCACTGGGGCCCCGGCCCTTCCGGAAGCCTGTGTCTGGCTCGGGCATTCATGCGATTTAAACTTACTCCTTCAGCACCATTGCTTCTTGCTCAATATGTCACCTCCTGGAATGTGAGCTGTCGACTCGGTTTTTTCTGGTCCAGTGACTCTCTGTATTCTTTTCATCTTCTACTGATCCTTCCTGTATCAGCCTATATTTTGTCGGTACAACCTTTCAAAATCGCCACTCAAGGCTTGAATTTTTTCTTGAGTTCTTTCCGTTTCAGACAAGCTGAGCTTGTTCTTCCCTCTTGCTTTTTTAACTCTTAAGTCCGTGCACATTTCGCTCCAATATTCGGCTTTGTTTTCTCCAGCTGCCCTTTAATGTCCTCTTCAGCTCTGACTTCATTCATCTTCCCTCTGCTGTCGCTGCCCTGTGACTCATAGGTAATCAATACGGTTCATAGCAAGATCTTTGTTTCCTGTCTTCTTAATGACTTTTTGCCTTGTGAGTGATGACTCACAATATGACTCAAGGTCATATTTTGGCTTCTATGGACTTGTTTTAGTTTTCTTTCAGCTCTATCCTGAACTTACGTAAGAGCCATGCAGGGTCTGTCCATGGTCGGCCCCTGATCTGGTTTGAGCTGCTCCATCGTGTTGTGTCATGTCGTGTCATGTCACGTCATGTTGTGCCTCAGATGGAGTCTGTGGCGGTTTTGCTTGTGTGTCGCTGAGGTTGGAAGATAGCACACTGGTATTTCAAATGCCGGCATGGTGCTCAAAGTGAGCAGGTTTCAACAGAGCTTCTAGATTAAGAACAGACAGTGGAGAAGGATGTGGCCCCCACGTCAGAGGAAGAGGCCGCTGAAACGCGTATGCACAGCTTCGAAGGGCTTTCAGATACAAAAAGCCTAGATGAAGGCTTGACTGGTGGGCATGCGTTTATACAAATTTCTGCTCTTCCGAATTTCAGCTCCAAGAACCCCGAGGAGGCCGAGTTGGAGGACACACTAAACCAAGTGGTAAGAAGCTGTTGCCAGCCGGCTGGGTCATCTGTCCACACTTGTTAGCCGTCGTGGCCATCCTGTCCTTCCCAGTCCCCTGTGTACTCGGGGCGGGAGATGTGGGGTCACAGTGAGTCCTGGTGCACCAGTGTGTCCTGTGCTGGCTCCTAGATGGTTGTCTTCAAGTACATCGAAGACAAGGACGTCTTCCAGAAGTTCTATGCCAAGATGTTGGCCAAGCGCCTGGTGCATCAGAACAGCGCAAGCGATGACGCTGAGGCCAGCATGATCTCCAAGCTGAAGGTGTGGGCCCCGCGTGCCAATGACCACAGCCCCGGCCCTGCTCCCCAGCCGAGTGCTGGGAGAGCCCGCGTGCCAATGACCACAGCCCCAGCCCCTGATTCCCCCCATGACCACAGGCCGGGCCCTGCAGTAAGAAGGCACTGTGTGTGTGTTTCAGCAAGCCTGTGGCTTTGAGTACACATCCAAGCTCCAGCGCATGTTCCAGGACATTGGCGTGAGCAAGGACCTAAACGAGCAGTTTAAGAAGCACCTGACCAACTCTGAGCCCCTGGACCGTAAGTACCGTGTGCAGTGACTCAGCTGGCGGGGCCTGGGGGGTTTGTCTGAGGAGCGAGACAGGCTTATTCAAATGAAGTTGGGCATGGTTGGACTTGTCCCGTCCACTGGCTTGTGCCACCCTCAGCAGGTGGTGCCGGCGGGCCCAGGGCGGTGGGCCCAGCAACTGACTGTCTGTACCCCACAGTGGACTTCAGTATCCAGGTCCTGAGCTCCGGGTCATGGCCCTTCCAGCAGTCCTGCACCTTCGCACTGCCTTCTGAGGTGAGTCCCCACAGCAGGTGCAAGGAGGGCAGGTGCCGCCATGGAGCAGAAGGTGTTCCATTCTGTGAGATCCCATCTGCAGGTGGAGTCCTAAGTCGGTTCTACCTTCAGTGCACGTTAAAGTGCTGCACAAGTCTGATGGTCGGATCTGACCTGACTGAGACTGTGTGTGGACTTGGACCGTGTATTGCGCACGAACGGAGCCATGGGCCGTGGAGGGGCATGGGCTGTGCTCTCTGGGGCAGGGCCTCGGCCTAGGAGGATCTATGTGCCCTGTGGCGTGTCTCTGGACTGTGGAGGACTTTCATTCTCTGTGGCGTGACCCTTTGCAGCTGGAACGGAGTTACCAACGGTTCACAGCCTTCTACGCCAGCCGACACAGTGGCCGGAAGTTGACATGGCTGTATCAGCTATCCAAAGGGGAATTAGTAACCAACTGTTTCAAGAACAGATACACTTTGCAGGTAAGAGTCCTTGTTCTTTAAAGCACTCTCGTTTCAACCCAGGTCAGGGTAAGACAGGAAACAGACCAGGGTGAGGGGCTCAAAGAGCAGGTCGAGTCGGCCTTCTGGGTCAATGATCTGAGGGTCTGGGAGTCATACAGCTGGGGTTCTCCTCCTCCTCGACTGAGGAGCCATGAGGCTGGTTGCTGGGGGGGCGCAGGATTCAAGTCCACCAATCGGGACTGGGACCCAAGTTTCCAGCAGCTGGGGGGAGCATGCTCACCTGAGGGACAGCACACGTGAGCAGACCTGTACTGGCAGACTGTCCCATCCACTTACTCCGTGAGAGTCACAAGACCCTGCTTGGCGCGGCTGCACTCCTCAGTGGCCCTGGTCGGCCTCAGCAGGTTGTGGTGGCCCTGGCCCTTGCCTCTTGTGTGGACCAGAGGAGAGGAAGGTGCCGAGAGAGTGCGGTCTGGTGCTGCTGGTGAGGGAGTGGCCCGCAGGCACTTGGGGTTGTTCCTGGACACTCATGGCCACATGCTCCTGACCGCCCCGCCCGGGCCTCCTCCTGCCGCCCTCCAGGCGGGAGTCCCAGCGTGCTGTGGCTTCTCGTAGACGAGACCCCACCTGGCAGCTGTCTTCCAGCATCTAATCAACTCTTTATTACTCGGGTTCTGGGTTCCGACCCCAGGTGTGATCCAGTTAACATCACACAAAAACCTGCTTCCAAACAAGGCAGCGCACAGGGCCAGGATGCTTGCACGTTGCGTTTCAGTGCGCTCAGCGTTACGTTTTGAAGGGGGACGCCATGTGAGCCACGTCAAGCACACAGGTGGCTTGGGGCTGACAGTCCACCATGAGACTTGTCCTCAGAATTTATACAGAAACAGATGTGCACTTGGTTGCTTGATGCAGCTGCACCTGCTGGGGATGTGGTACCAGCCTGAGAAAAACAACACAAAGTACAACAGGCTGAAGAAGCTTGGCTTGGCTTTCTGGGAAAGAGGGCCTTGATCCACACTAGGTTTTGCATCTACTTGAGAATCTCTTTCTTGAAAAAGTTATTCACACTGACCTCTGTGTCTGGAGCTTGCTGGTGCAGTTAATGTCTCTCTTCTCCGCCCGGACCCCAGGCCTCGACGTTCCAGATGGCGATCTTGCTGCAGTACAACACGGAAGACGCCTACACTGTCCAGCAGCTGACAGACAGCACACAGATCAAAATGGTACCTGCCCGCTGCCCAGCCTCCCTGGTGTGCAGGCTGCCTCGTGCCGCAGGCGGTTGTGGGGCAGCTGCATGGTCTGGAGTGAAATCTGATGTGGGCTTGGACGCTTGTCACAGAACGCCGTGTCCCTGGGCCTTGAGCTTTTCTCACGCTCACGTCACAGCTTCCTTTCCAGCTGCAGTTTGCTCAAGTTCTCATTTGTTACTCTACCTGCTGTTTTATTGATATGTAGTTGACGTGATTTGGTGTTGACCTTTTAAAGTATAGAACTTAGTGGGTTTTTGTGTAGCTACATATTCTGCAACTAACGCGCTTAATGTCCACAAACAATCCATACCTGTTACTAGCCCCTCCCGGTTTTCCTTCCCCCCATGTCATGTACGTGGGATCATGCAGCACATGGTGCTTTGTGACCGGCTGCTTTCACTCGGCGTAATGTTCTCGAGGTTCGTCTGTGGTTGTGAGGGTTGAACAGTAATATTGTGTGGATGCGTATGTGTTGTTAGGCGATCTATGTATGGCAGAATAAAACACTGGGCCATCCTCACTGTCACTGTTCCCTTTGAGTCAAGGTGCGGGGATAGCGCATAATTGTACTTCATCTGGTTACCATTGGTGGCCATTTGGATTGCTTCCGCTGTGGGCCACGATGTGTATTGTTGTGAACATTCGTATACACATTATTTATGGCCCTGTGTTCAGATCCCTGGGGTGGGGGTCGGGGTATGCCACGAAGTGCTGGTGGCAGAGTGGGTATGAGTAACCCTGAGGCCAGCACTTCAAAGCCAGTGGTCTGTCCATGGGGGAAAGAGGAGACTGTCCTGTAGGGTCGCCGTGCGTCAGAATGGACTCCGGCAGTGAGTTTGGTTTTGAGTCAGGTAAACACCTGAACAGAATTGCTGGCGTGTTTTATCTCTACATCACGTCCAAGAATTTCCAGATTTCTTCACATCCTCACCAACGAAATTGTGAGTTTCCCACCACTGGTGCACGTCTGTTCCCCGTACCATTGCCCTCCGACGGCTCGCCGCAGTGCCTGCTACAGGCTGGTTGCTTATCTTCTTTGGATAGACATCTTTTGTTCACTCTTATTTTGATGTCTGCACACTCTGAATGGTAGACCCATGGGATTGCAAATATTCTCTCCCATCCTGTGAGTTGTTGACTTTCTTGAGAAGAGGTTCTTAGATTCGCGAGTTTTTAATTTTGATAAAGTTCAAGTCACCTGCTTTTGTCGCTTGTGCTTTGTTACCATACCTAAGAAAACTGCTTCTCTGGGCTCAATCCTGTTCTGGGCTTTGACCAATTTTGAGTTGGTTTTTGTCTGTACATGGAGGGAGGGCTCTTGTGTGTGTGTAGGTCCAGTGTGTGCAGCCCCATTAGTGGAAGAGGCTGTTGACACCCTTGTAAGAGATACATTGGTCATAAATGAATGGATTTACTTGAGGACTCTTGAGTTCTTTCGCCTTGGTCTCTATAACTTTATGCCAAGTACCACTCTGCTTTGATTGTTATTGCTTTAGTATATGTTCACAAATCAGGAATTATTTGCTCTTGAACTCTGTTTTTCAAGATTATCTTGGTGGTTTGGGAGACCCCTTGCCATTTTATAAAAATTTGAGGATCAGCTCTTCCATTTCCACAAGAGATCGCTGGAATTTCAGTCGGGGTAGTATGTCTTTCAGTGGCTCTGTGACGGAGATACAATGTTGGTCCCTGGCCCAGTTGGGGAATAAGAACATGCCTTAAGGGGCTGTGACTGCACCCCCGACCTCACCAGCAGACTTAAGCCCCACTTCTGACAGCTCTTCCATATGGAGACACACACACACACACACACACACACACCACCATTCCCTGGTCTGTCCCGCCTTTCAGCCTCAACCCTCGCTAAGAATAGGCAACAGAGGGTACAAGTCAGGGACCTTATGACTTAGGACGGGGGTCCCCATAACTGCCCCTCACTTCTGCTGGTACAAGTGCAGTCCTGGTATATTTGTTCTGTGGCCTTCAGGTGAGTCATCCCTGAGGCCGCGTGACATCAACATGTATCACAAAATTATTCTGGTTAAGGTGAGGCGGGGAGGGGTTCGGACTGGGCCAGTGGAGCAGGAAAGTGGATTCTGGGCTGCTGGGAGAATGCCTTTTCCCTCTAACGAGCTTATTTTCTCTCACTGCAGGACATTTTGGCCCAAGTGCTCCAGATTTTACTCAAGTCCAAGTTGCTGGTATGTTGGCCCTTTACTCATCCAGCTGGAAGACTTCCTGTAGCAGGACATTCATGGTTCATGGTCATTTTCTTAAACAGGTCTTGGAAGACGAAAATGCAAATGTTGATGAGGTGGAACTGAAGCCAGATACCTTAATAAAATTATATCTCGGCTATAAAAAGTAAGAAAAGTCTAATTAATCACTAGCTGCCCCTCACCCAGCACCTTCCCGGGGCTCTGCACTTGGGAAGCAGGCAGTGGGGTCCAGCTGGGGTACGGCCCTCATTTCACAGCCCTTGTTTCCCTGACTCTGGGTCCAGTGTGTTTCCTTCTAAATGGCCGGGGACGCTGGCCTGTATATTTCCAGGTGACTTGGTTCTGCTTCACTTGACACAGTTGGGGGTGGGACGAAGAGCTGTCTTGTTGAGCGGGGCCAGGGACACCACCCTACACTGACCCTTTCTGTGTCTCCTGCAGTAAGAAGTTAAGAGTGAACATCAACGTGCCAATGAAAACAGAGCAAAAGCAGGAACAAGAAACCACACACAAAAATATTGAAGAAGACAGAAAATTGCTGATTCAGGTGACCTATGGGGGTAGTGGACCATCCCAAGAGTGTCATGGTCCAGGGTTGGAGCAGGTGACAGCTTGGCTCCGGGACAAACAGCAGGTGGGAAGCAGGTGGGCTCAGGGAGTGGTGTTAGTAAAGTTTTCTCTTAGTAAATTTTCCTGATGAGTTGTCAGTTCCCAGTGATCCCACAGGACAGAGTAGAGCAGTCCTGCAGGGTGTGCTAGGCTGTCACCTGTCTTCCAGGGACTCTATCCCACAGAGGTGCTGCTAGGTTCCAGCCACCAGCCTTTCTTGGTTGGCAGCTGAGCACCTAGCCATGGCTCTACCTGGGCTCCTTAGGAGTCCTTCCCAGTGGAATGAGGGGTTCCAGTTGCGTAGGGCTCAACAGGAGTGATTTCCACATCTGTAGGATCCTGCTGCCAGGTGGGGAGGCCAAGCCTGCATCTGTAGTACCAGATGCACACAGCACCCCAAGCGCATGTGAGCTTCATGGGTGCTGTCACCTGTGTCCCCACAGGCAGCCATCGTGAGGATCATGAAGATGCGGAAGGTCCTGAAGCACCAGCAACTGCTGGGGGAGGTGCTGACGCAGCTGTCCTCGCGCTTCAAGCCTCGGGTCCCGGTCATTAAGGTACAGGGTCGGGAGGCAAGTAAGGAAAGAGGAGCTCAGTGGGTCCACAGATCTTTCTGGTCTTTTGTTGAAATGTTCTTGGAGGAGGTGCCGCCCAATGTGTACCAAGTGCACGTGCCCCAGGGGCTTCTGTCCAGCCTTGGTTGGGTGGTCTGTGTGAGCCATGCTCAGGGAGCTCCCTGACTCCAACGGCCTGGGGGTGGAGAATCAGGCTGTGCGGAGCCCATTGGTGCTCACCTTTGTCTCCCAGCAGCTTCTTCCTGCCCAGGTGCCTTGGGGTGGGAGTACTGAGAAGAGGTTGGGGACCAGTGGGACCAGAGGCCACAGCCTAGATGGAGCACATCTGTGGTGGGGGGTGGGGGACAGGGCCACAACGGATGGTGAGGTGGGTGTGTTTTTATTCCAGAAATGCATTGACATTCTGATTGAGAAGGAGTACTTGGAGCGAGTTGATGGGGAAAAGGACACCTACAGCTACCTGGCCTAGCCACCTCGGATGGTGTGGCCGAGCAGCTGGCTGCTGGAGGTGGGAAGTGGGAGACCGATGCCCCAGGGCGGCTTCAGGCCTGCACTCAATCGCTCAGGACTGACACTCCGTCTGTGCTTATGGACGCAACGCCATTTAATCTACCCTAAGGACCGAGAGGACGGGCCTCCACTGAGGCTGCATGCCACTGCATCACGTCAGCACACGCCGTCCTCGAGGCCAGAGGGCGGGCGCCCGGCCAGGCACCGCCGCTGTGGAGATGTTTGTACAGTGTGCTTCATTTTTTAATGTGTGAGAATAAAGAGAATTAAAAGATTTCTGTACAAGTCGCATTTGGTTTTGTTTTAAGTTTTACTAATTTCTATATGTAAATAAAAGATATAATGATTATGCATTTGTGTGTATTCCCTATCTTCCTGTGTCTTAGGCTTAATTTGAGGTCAATTGAAAAGGTGATGTTCAGCCTACATGATCACGAGGTGCCAAAGGAATCAGTTATCAGGTATCCACAAAAAATCATTGTTGCTCACCTCCCTGATAGGATCGCTGAAGACAAATGGATGCATAAGCAAATGCGGCAAAGAAAGCTGATGGTGCCCGGCTATCAAAAGTCAGGGGGTCTTACAGGCTTGAAGGTAAACAAGCAACCATCTGGCTCAGAAGAAACAAAGCCCTGTAAGGCATCATCAGAACAAAAAATCTTACCA